GGATTATTCTAATGCCCTTTCCATATATGTCAACGTTACCTAGCAATTCATCAAACGCTTTTTTCATCATCTATAACACGCAGTGCACTTTTCTTTGCTTCTAACGATTTGTTTCTTTTCCTTAATACTTAGTTTAGGCTTCTTATCGTTATTCCAGTGCAAAGTCGTATTTCAGTGTCAGAAAGATGGGCAATGATCTTATATAACCATGTCTCCAGGTAGGCCATCCATATTCCACATTGACAGGAATCGATTCCACAAACGATCAACGGTCATTTTTAGGGAGTTTTATGTAGTGTCACACTCTTTTACCGACTACTGCAGACCCCGTCTAATCCAGAACCGAACGATGATTCATTAACTGGATGCGAGATTATGCCGAACAGACAGACAGAGAAATGAGTACCAAAATGTAATGAATATTTACGTTTCCATGGGAATCAAAATTGACTGACGTTAAGTTCGTCCCATTTGAGCCTTTCGTTACAACGAGAACGTTCGAAACAGTAACTGACTATCCTTGAATTCAGTGACGGTCGCTCGATTTGCTTGCCTTACGTTCCGACAGAGAATCCATCCGGAAAAAAACGAGGGAGAAAAGATACGGAAGAACGGGTCTGTGACAATTCTGGATTATATATTTTCTGTTCTTTTATATGCCGTTTCCATTGAGAATGTGCACGAAAATGGTTCATTTCGACGTCATGTCAAGAATACGGAAATGGGGGGAACCCTTAATTGACATGTTTGCTGCTGTTGATGTAGTTATACGTATATCTGAATCATGCTGTACCTGCTGTCGATGTCGTTGTCATATATATATATATATATATATATATATATATATATATATAATTTCAAGGAAAAACAAGACCACTTCAAGATTCCATTATAATAATTTATTTCACCAGAGCCCTTTTAAAGGACACCAGATCATCAGATAGCACTTCCAAAAAATGAAACGAAAATTGATGAGTAGTGTAAGTTTTTGTAATTTTACAGGGAGTGTAATAAGGAGTTGTTAGAGAGACATGGTAGAGTTTAGAGAGGGTTTAATTTAATATTTCTCTCAATCATACTTAGTATTGGGGGAGGAGGAGTGATCAGACTATGACGTATTTAAACCTATTATATATATATATATATATATATATATATATATATATATATATATAAATAAAAGGCTCGAACACTAATATTCCATGGTTATAATTTATTGCATACGAATCGTAATCACGATTCAATTCATCAGACCTGGAAATTCCAATGTAATATATTATAACCATAGAATTTTAGTGTTCGAAATTTTTATATTATATTCTTGCTCTGTTCTGGACATTGAGCTCTACTTGAATTTTATCCTCTTGGAAATTTATACATATCTATATAACTAAAATATTTTATTTTAGTCATTCCCGCTCTACGTTTTAGTTGTACTAGTCGCTTGTTTTTTTTTCTTTGGACTAAAGACTTAAGGAACGAGTCGATTTGTTTCACCCTGTTCAAATGTTTTTAGTTCTTTATTTATTTCCAATTTTTTCCTCGGGTACCAATTTGTTTTGACATATATACAAGTTGAGCTATCTGAGGTTTTTAGCAAACGAGTTTTATGATTATTAGTATATATATATATATATAGGACAAGAATAGGTTCGGTGTCAAAAGGTAAATATAGATTTAGTTTGCATAGGATTAAAAAAGGTAGACATAGTTTTGGAATGCACAAATCACAGAAATAGGTAAACATAGTTTTAGTTTTGACGAGTGTCATCGTTTTGTTCCGCACATGAATCAAAATGGTAAACATTGGATTCGTTAGCACGGGAGTTTAAAAAACAGTTAAGCTCGATTTGGCATGCATGAGAGTTCCCAAAATAACATAGGTACAGTAAACAGGTGGCATTTTTTGGTGTTTTGCGATGCCGTCAGCGTATTCTTGACATGACGTCGAAATGAACCATTTTCCAATTGAGGCTCAAAAAACAATGGCCAATGGCTCCAAGCAGTCATATCTTCTAGAAGTGGACAATTATGCAAAATAGCCAAAGCTGCCTCTCTTGTCTGATGTCCCAAAATTCCTACATTACCTTGGATTTGACCAAATGGTCTAAAACAAAAATAAAAGAATATAAATGATAATGGAACCAAGAGACAACTTACTCTGTTTATATCAAAAACAAATTAGCATAATAATGTTCAGTAGATGCTCTTATTTAAAATTCCTATCAATAGGTGGCACTCATGCATTGTTTTCTGTTCCAAGACATATTTTGAATTCAGACTTGTTTATATCTGTGCTCTGCCGTTGACATTCTTTCACATTTTTTCTCATGGCTCCAAAGAAAAGTCATAGTGTATGTGCTAATGCTAAGCGTAAGGTTATATCAATGAAAGATAAGGTGGAAATTAATTATTTTATTCAGAATACTGTATGTATATATCATAAATACTGTAATAGGCAATAAATGGGGAGTTCTTATTTGCAGTTTATAATATTGTGATTTCTGGAACCAATAAATGACGTAGGGTGAGGTATGTATGCCCCCCCCACACACACCCACACACATATATATATATATATTATAATTTTTTTTTAATTTTATCATATAGACGAAAACAGTTTACTCACTACAAAGATGCAACTTCGTTTCGGTGCATTTCAATTGCACCTCGACTGGTGAGAACCAAAACGGGTATCTACCATTTTGATTTTCACCAGTTGAGGTGCAGTTGAAATATGATAAATTGTAATATATATATATATATATATATATATATGTGTGTGTGTGTGTGTGTGTGTGTGCTTAGTAGTAGTAGTAGTAGCATTCCAAATTAACAAACAAAAATTAAATCTTCGATATCTCAAAAACTAGAAGACCAATTTTCTGAAATTTTCACTAGATGTAGACAAATAGCAGTTCAGATGTGCTTTAAATCTAAGTTATTTGGAATGATAAAGAGAGAGCTTTGACATTTAATTTTTTACTCAGACATCAAGTGTCCAAAATTAAGAAAGAAATCGAAAAATATGTGGGAATAACACACATAATCCGAATTTCTGATAAGCAAGGTTAAGAAAAAAAATTGTTAATCATCACCACGTCATTTTCCAACATGGCGAACCGATGAAAAGTTGACAAGTCTCTTAAGATCTGACGTTGTCAATCTGCGAAAGGAAAATCACACAAGTGGCCAGATTGCTGAACAGGTGAAGCGTTCCAAAAGCGCCGTGAGCGGAATTCTGAACGAAAGCACTGGTCGTTTAACCAGTCGAAACCAGGTGGGTAGTCCAGTGGGAAAACAAACAGGATCGTTCAAATGCTTAGCACTGAAGGACCGTTTTCGAACTGCGGCAAGCACCGCACGAGAAATTTCAAATGACATTAACGTATCTCGGCAAATTGTGTCTAGACGCTTGCAAGAAATAAGGATTTATGCTTGGTCACCACAGAAGAAGCCGATCATAAACAAAACGAACAAGCCTGCAAGACTGAAATTTGCAAACAAGTACGTGTTATGGTCAGAAGAACAATGGCCCAGCGTATTCTTCAGTGATGAAAGGAAATTTAATGTCTTTCATTCTGATGGAAAACTGTATGTAAGAAGACGACTTGGCGAAAGGTTGAGTTTAAAGTACATCAAGAAGACAGTCATGTTTGAAGGAGGCAGCGTGATGGTTTTCGGCATTTTTTCAAGTCTGGGTACGTCACCTCATCTCCGCTTATATAATCGATTTAATGCTGCTATGTACAAGAATTTGTTAGAACATGTTCTACCGGTGTTACAAAATTCTGGGTTTGAAAATCCTGTGTCCGTGCAGGATAATATTCCCTGTCATAAGGCAAATCAGGTTATTGCTTATCGGAACGACTAAGGAATAAACGTTATTGATTGTCCAGCTCAAGGTCCTGACATGACGCCTATAGAAATCTTATGGAAGACTTTAGGGCAAAATGTCATGGCTAGGAATCCATCAAATGTCGAAGATCTATGGAAAAATTACAGGAGGAATAGGCTAAAATTAGTTGACGAATGCCAAATTTAGTGAAATCGTGTGGATGCCAATGAAGAGCAGTGATTCGAAACAAGGGTCATAGCAATAAATATTGATAAGACTTTTTCATTTTGTTGTTCAATTATTTCTTCATTAAAATGTTTTGTTCCTTAATTTTGAACATTTGATATTTGAATAAGGAATTATGGTCCGATTCCTTGTACCACGGTGATAGTCCAAAGTAGAACCAAATAATAAGAACTCGAACACGTATATGGAATAACACAGATATATTACAAACAGGAATATATACAGAGAAGTAGAAAGTGTTAGTACGAACAATCAGGTTTAGTAGTAATTGTCTGAACGCGACTCTGTTTCGGACTGCCTTTGACTCGACTGACTGACTCGCTCTGACTGACTGGCAGACTCCTGACGGCCTTCACTCCAGACTTCAGACGGAACTCCAGACTTCTGACGGAACACTAGACTTCAGCCGGTTTAACGTGGGATCTCCGAGCCCGTGGGTTCGGTCAAAAATATGTCCTTTGAACCCGTATAAACGGGTTCAGGGTCGGTTTACCTCCCCGAAAGAGCCTCCCCGCCCGAATGCAGAGAGTTCAATCGATCAGCCGGTCAGCCGGTCAGCCGGTCGCCCGACTTCGGACTGAACGGTATTTAGTCACACCCCACTCCGAGGGCATCATGTGGCACAAGGCCGGTTTAACGTGGGATCTCCGAGCCCGTGGGTTCGGCCAAAAATATGCCCTTTGAACGCGTATAAACGGGTTCAGGGTCGTTTTACCTCCCCGAAAGAGACTCGGCTCTTCGGCGTAGCCTCGTTCGGGTTCCTCCCCGCCCGAAGGCAGAGAGTTCAACCGATCAGCCGGTCAGCCGGTCGCCCGATTTCGGACTGAACTCTCTGCTTCCTCTTGAGGCGCAGTATTTATTACGTATGGAATAGTCCATTATGTTATTATGGGTAAGATCCCATAACAAGAATTAAATGAATCATAGATCTCTCTCTCTCTCTCTCTCTCTCTCTCTCTCTCTCTCTCTCTCTCTCTGTATCATTGCAAATAACTTACAAAATTAAAGCACAGCTAAACTGCCATTTGTTTACGCTTTGTGAAAATTTAAGAAAAATTGGATTTTTTTTTGAGAAATCGAAGTTTTAATTTTTGTTCCTTAATGTCGGACGCTACTGAATATATCATTTTTTGATTTTAAGCATTTTTTTCTTTTTAGGCATTGTATTGCATAAACGGATGTGCGAGTGGTGTAATCGATAATGAATCGGAATGCGAAATCTTGAGAGCCGAGTTCGAATTCCAGTCGGGTTCGTTGCATTCACTTATGCGCAAATAACTTTGGTAAAATCATAAATTCATGGTTAAATATCAAGACAGACTGGATTCTTGGTTGACACCCAGTCTAGCACAGAAAGTAACGGCCGCCTACTGCGGGATTTCTTCTGCCAAGTCAATCATGAATTGAAAAGAGACATGATCGCCCAAGTGTGCGTCACGCATGCCGGCTTCTTGATGGCTGTAGTTGTCTTTGTCAGTCCATCCCTCTTGGTACGACATTAAAAAAATATTTTCAGTGAAATTATTTGTATTTTCTTTTAATATTATTTTTTCTAATTTTCTATGAATTTGAAATCTCGCCAAAATGGTGTGTTGGAGTGTGTTTTTTGTTCATTTGTGTACATATTTCGGAAAAGAAAGAATTGAATAGAAGGTCAAATTGGGCCCTATAGCCATGTTTGGCAACCAGTTTACCTCACAAACAAACGATTGTCTACTGCGAGAAAATCTTCTGCCTAGTCAGTCATGAATGGAAAAAGATGTGATCGGCCAAGCGTGTATCACTTATAGCATTTAACTGACCGACTGGCTGCATGAAACAATAAAAACGTTGTTTGAAAGCATTACTTATTGTACAGGACATGCACAATTATTTCCTGTTTGAGCTACGGGTTCGCTATAAGGCCTACGACAGTATAGTTAGTTATTAAGTTGGCCAGAAAGTCCTGACTCACTTAGGAAACGAAAAGAAAACAACGGAATTTTATGGAGTAACAACAACATTCATTCTTCAAAATAAAGTCCATCATTCTCAACAATCTTCTACCAGCGATCAGCCAGTATCCAAATCTGTCCCAGACACGAGTCCGCTGGCTTTGAATCAAAAAACTGTAAACAAGCTTCCTTTTGACTTCATCAAAAGTGTTGAATCGCTGGTCGGGGAGGAAGTGTGCCATTGATCGGAATAGGCCATAGTCACTCGGAGCAGTATCGAGACTGAAAGGTGGATGTGGAAGAATCTCAACACCGTCCATCAGTTTGAACTTCTCTTTAGTCAACATGATAGTGTGTGGCCTCGTATTGTCTTGTTGAAACAAAGCCTAACATTGATTGACCAAAGCAGGATATTTTTTCTTTAGTTTGTCGTACACGCGGTCTATGCTATGGTGTATGCTGTCCATACAGTTTAGCGTTAATGGCGCGACCGTGCGGAACAAGCTCAAAATCCCGTACTCCTTGGAAATTCCACAAGGCAGAGATCAAAATGTTTCCTTTTCTTTCCGCTTCAGGAATTTCTAGCCAACCTCGTATTATTTTTTGGTTTTAGGCTTCTTTTTTTTCTTTCTTTTATATCGCCTTTGTTTGCATGAAACAATAAAAACATGTTTGGAATCATTAATGATTATTTTATTTCGTGTTTTAACCTTTGTTCTACCTTTGATAATACAGCAATATATATATATGGAGTAGGCTGGCAAGAATATGCTTTTTTTGATGAAAGATTTTTGCCATCCGACATTATCTGTGTCCCGACAGTGGCCTGATCCCAACGGTGCCGGATTAAAGAGGTCGGATAGTATTTGCCTTTTCAAAGCAAAGCTGATTTTAATAATTCATAGTTGATCAACAGACTAGAAACCCAAATGTTAAAATCATTAATTTGGACAGTTGCCCTGAAAAGATATGTTCTCTATAAATAACTGCATGTTGCTTATCGTTGATAATCATTTATATCAAGATAAATAAAATCTATCGGGCTGGAACAAAAGTTCATAGCTTTTTAAAGTGAATTTCAAAGACAATATTTTAATATTTGTACGTAGATTTATTCCACTACATATGCGCCATTTTGTTCTGGTATCTTTCGCCATCTTTGAAGCAACTTCGTGAGTCCGTCCTTTCAGAAGCTTGAATCTTTGTGGGTGATGAACTGACAAAATCCAAAGAAGGATCCGTAATATAATCGATCCTGACCTGGCATCTCAGTCCCTTTCTCACCGACATGACGTGGCTTCCTTCTGTCTTTTCTACAAATATTTTTATGGCAAAAGTTGTGACTAGATTTTTCCCTGCTATCTTTCACCATCTTTGAAGCAACTTCATGAGTCCGTCCTCTCAGAATCTTGAATCTTTGTAGTTGATGAAATGGTCTTAGTTCGGCTCAGTTCGTTTTGTTTTACGGGATATCAACCTCAATGAGTTATTTAATGCCGACACAATTTTTATTGTTGGTGATATTTTTTTTTTCCAAAAATATATTGCTGGTAAAATTTTTTCATCAAAAATCTATTTTTGGTAATATTTTTTTTCAAAAATGTATTTCTGGTAATAATGTTTCCTTCAAACATTTATTGCTGGTAATAATTTTTTACAAAATATTTCTGGTATTAAAAACTATTTTTACACTTTCATAGTGTTTTGTCCCCAATTTGGGGGGTTAACTATTTGCCCAAAATTGGGACCCTAACAAGTGCTGCTACCACCCCGCGTCAGGGTGGATCTGGGAACACCAGCAATTAAGAGGTGGTTTCACGCTCCTCAAAACCTTCTAATCAGAGATCTTGCTGTTGGACGTAGTTTATCGTCTTACCCAGGACGCGGATGTAGTTTGTCATCATACCAAGGTCGCGGATGTAGTTTATCGTCTTATCCAGGACGCGGATGTAGTTTATTTTAAAACCCAGGTCGCGGATGTAGTTTATCGTCATACCCAGGACGCGGATGTAGTTTATTTTCAAACCCAGGTCGCGGATGTAGTTTATCGTCATACCCAGGACGCGGATGTAGTTTATCGTCATACCCAGGTCGTGGATGTAGTTTATCGTCTTACCCAGGACGCGGATGTAGTTTATTTTCAAACCCAGGTCGCGGATGTAGTTTATCGTCATACCCAGGACGCGGATGTAGTTTGTCATCATACATAGGTCGCGGATGTAGTTTATCGTCTTACCCAGGACGCGGATGTAGTTTATCGTCTTACCCAGGACGCGGATGTAGTTTATCGTCATACCTAGGTCGCGGATGTAGTTTATCGTCATACCCATGTTGCAGATGTAGTTTATCGTCATACCCAAGTCGCGGATGTAGTTTATCGTCTTACCCAGGTCGCGGATGTAGTTTATCGTCTTACCAAGGTTGCAGATGTAGTTTATCGTCATACCCAGGTCGCGGATGTAGTTTATCGTCTTACCCAGGACGTGGATGTTGTTTATCATCATTCCCAGGACGCAGATATTGTTTAGCGTCATACTCAGGACGGAGAACTGGTCTCAGTCGTTTTAAAAGTCTTCCTGAAAAATGAAAATGTTCCCATTAAAATAATTTTGCAGTGATCGATATAAGAGGTTTTGATTTTGCGTTTTCAACTGACTTAAAATGGAGCGACTACATTGAATCAATATCTGTAAAAGAACGTTGGGTTACTGTGTCGCGACAGAACATTTTTCTCGTCTTGTACATTTACAAATCTACTGTTGCTATATCTGGTCTGGTGCCCCTGCTGTACATCTGGAGATTCTTGACAAAATCCAAAGAAGGATCCGTAATATAATCGATTATGACCTGGCATCTCGATTTAAGTCCCTTTCTCACCGACATGACGTGGCTTCCTTCTGTCTTTTCTACAAATATTTTCATGGCAAATTCTGTGACTAGATTTTTTTCCCTGGTGTCTCAACTACATAAATCTAATCGCGCTACTAGATTGGCATGGAGGTCCCACCCTTTTACTGTTGAAATAGATAAATACAACCACCACTTCTACCCCAAAAGTTTCTTTTAATGGAAACCTTTTAATAGATTTCATAAATAATTCTAATGCCGTTTTGCAATGCAATGTAAAAAAAAAAACTTCTGTATTTCTATTGTTTTTAGCATTTGCAGTATTACTCTCTATGAAATTCTAGGACCTAGTGAGAGTTTGCATGAATTTTCTCAGTTTAATGCAGTTCTATCAGGTCATCCCATAAGTTCTGTCCGAATTTTAATTTTTTGTTAAAATGAACGAAATTTAAAGAGTATTTTATAATGTCTAATGGAGCTGAACATTATTTTTGTTTAGATGCATTTAAACTGATCAAATTTTATTTCAGAGAACAATAAAATTAAATTTTGTTTGATTAAAACCCTGCTAACATGGAAGTGCCCAAGAATCATTTGAGGCACATAATACTTTAGGAGTTCAAGAAAGAAAACTCAGCAGCCGAAGCGGCTAGAAACATTCACTCAGTTTATGGAGAGGAGTGTGTGAATGAAAGAACTTGCAAAAGATGGTTTGCAAAATTCAGAGGTGGAGATTTCACCCTTGAAGATGAAGATCGAACCGGACGTCCAGTTGAGTTTGATGAAAAGCTTCTTGAAGCAACCCTTCAAGAAAATCCTGCTTTATCAGTTGAGGAATTGGCAGTGGTTCTCAGTTCAAACCACACAACTGTTCATCGTCATCTTCAACAACTTGGAAAAGTTCCTAAACTTTGAAAATGGGTGCCTCATGAATTGTCTGAAAACAACCTCAAATCCCGAGTTGACATCTGCTCTTCTCTCCATTCTCGCCAACTTGTTGCACCTTTTTTGGATAGACTTATGACTGGCGACGAAAAATGGATCTTTTATCGAAATGTTAAGCGTCGTAGACAGTGGCTTGGTAAAGGGGGAGAACCTCAGCCACAGTCGAGAAGGGAACTTCATAGGCAAAAGGTTCTTCTTTCAATCTGGTGAAATCGCCAAGGAATAATCCACTTTGAATTCTTACAACCTAA